TAAAAAAAAAAAAAAAAAAAAGCACATTTGACTTTATATTTCTCATAAATATACAACTTATTCGTTTCCGTAGTCATTTTAATCACTCCCAAGATCATTCTCATTCGAATGTGATCTCAGTTCATTCATATTCCTCCTTTTTACTCGAGCATCACACATTTTTTTGTAGAACCCACTTATCTAAATGTATATTAAATACCAATGACTCGATATCTACCTAATCACTAATCGCTAACGATAACCGGACACCCTTTTCAATTTTTAAAAGTATGAAGAAAAGTAAAAGGGCAAATTCTAATCCAATGTGTATGTGTGTAAAACCAAAATCAAAACCCAAATCCCATAGCCATTATAAACTTTATATATATATATATATATATATGATCATATATGACTAAGTTGGGCGTTGAATCCTTCTTGATTCCCTTTGATATTCAAACTTTCCGCGGGCCGCGGCTTGTCTCAGTCAACTCTTGAAATCTCTTCTATATATACACTTAAAAATCTTTCCTTTCATTGCTCACCAAACCAATCTCTTCTTCTCTCAAATGGGTTTTTCTGTTATGAACACGGCGGCGTTTCTTTTCATTTTTCTCTGTGTTTTCCACATGTCGGCGGCGAGGGTCATGACCGGAGAGCGGTGGCTTCCGGCACCGAGGGTGCCCATGGCGATGCTGCGAGGTGCCGTGCCTAGTTCCAGTAGGAATCCCTGCTCGTTTATTCCGGGGTTCAGCCGTGGCCGATGTACGTTGAGCGAGGCGGACGACGGTGCCGCCGCTGTCCATGATGGCTCCTCGGCCTCATCTGGGCTGAATGCTGATGGGTTTGCAGTGGCTTCCATGGCTAACAAAACCCAGAAGAAAGATCCTTCCTTGAGGCCTTGAATCAATGTAGAAGTTTGTGTATAGTGTTCTTCATACAATTTTTTTTTTTTTTTCATATAAATTTATTTCATTCTTTTTTTAAAAAATGAGTGAGAGTGATACATGTAATTGGATTGGCCAAAATTGACCATCCTTTGTTCTTCAATTACCTGAATACAATTATTTTTTCACCAAAAAAAAAAAAAATTATTAATATTCTTTGTTCTTAATTTAGGTAATACTGAAACTTAAATGGTTAAAATGTATTCATTTAATCAAAAGACAAGAGGCATAAAGGGTAAAAAGGTCATTAATTAAAAAAATTAAATATATTATTTAAGGGACAAAAAGGGCAAAAAGGTCATTAATTAAAAAATTAAAAGAACCGTGGAATATGACTGGTGAGAACTTAGAAATTTCACAAAAAGATGGTCGTTG